CTCCTCCATCACATGATGCTGACAGTTGGTTTTAAGAAAATTGAATCCAAAAAATATCTAGTTCAGAGGGCACGTGGGTCAGAACAAAGTTGCATTATGGGTACCAGCGATCCAATTAATTAATATTTATAGCTGAGAAGCTCTATGTAGATATTTCTGAATAAGGATTTTATCAATAAAATCCAGTTTCTTGTTTAAAACATTCGTTTCTAGGGAAAGAACATTGTAAAAGCAGAAAGCAAGATAAAAATGGCATCCGTTAATCTGATGATATATATACCTATGAGTTGATGCACACTTAGTTGAGCTTATGGTCATAGTCACTGTTCATTTGTATTGGATATGTGGTCTATTTTAATAATCAATTAAATGTGAGGGAAGGACATACATTGCTATTATATTTTGCTTCCCTGGGAATGTTGTATACCCTCACTCCTTCTACCCACCTCCGCACACATCAAACGTATGATTACATTTAAATCTTAAGGAATTTTTCTAGCAGTAAATCGACCTACCTTACATGTAGTCCTTGAGAATTGAAACTAATGCTGAGGCTGCCCAAGGAGGGGGAAGGGGCATCCCGTGCTGCTGATGAACAGTGTTAGGCAGGGTACCTGGCACAATTTGGGCTATAGAGCCATCTCATATAGATGGGAAAGAGGCTACCTCTCATTGGCACCTCCCTTCTTTTTTATTCCTGGCTCCTTCTATTAAATGTCTGAGCCCAAACCTAAGTAAAGGACTTATCCATAATCACTGTGTTCACCATTTATTATCCAATTACTATTATTATGCATTACGCTTTATTATCCAATTCCTGCTTATGCCTTGGGTTAGGTACATACTCTTCTTCTAGAGATTACACTTAAAGAAGGCAAACACTGGGGGGTGGGGGGATGGGTTAGCCTGGTGATGGGTATTAAAGAGGGCATATTCTGTGTGGAGCACTGGGTGTTATGCACAAACAATGAATCATGGAATACTGCATCAAAAACTAATGATGTAATGTATGGTGGTTAACATAACA